AAACATTCAAGCTGTGTACAGCGGGGATGGGACACTGCTGACCTCAACTGTGGAGGTAATTGGCCGGTGGAAGGAACACTTTGGGGAACTCCTAAGCCCGACTAGACCAACAAACCCACCCTCTGTGATAGAGGCAGGGCTGGAGTGTGATGGGGGATCTACATCAATTTCCCTGCGGGAGGTTACTGAGGTAGTCAAACAACTCCACAGTGGCAAAGCCCCGGGGATTGATGAGATTCATCCAGAAATGCTGAAGGCTCTGGGTGTTGAGGGGCTGTCTTGGTTGACACGCCTTTTCAACATTGCATGGAAGTCAGGGAACGCGCCGAAGGAGTGGTAGACTGGGGTGGTGGTTCCCCTATTTAAAAAGGGGGACCAGAGGGTGTGTGCAAACTACAGAGGCATCACACTACTCAGCCTCCCTGGGAAAGTTCACTCTCAGGTGCTGGAAAGGAGGGTCTGGACGATTGTCGAACTTCTGATTGAAGAAGAACAGTGCAGGTTTCGTCCTGGTCGTGGAACAACAGACCAACTCTTTACTCTTTCAGGTGTCCTGGAAGGGGCCTGGGAATATGCCCATCCGGTCTACATGTGCTTTGTGGAAGGCATATGACCGGGTTCCCCAGGATATCCTGTGGGAAGTGCTGCGGGAGTATGGGGTGAGGGGGCCACTTCTCAGGGCCATCCAAGCCCTGTATTTCCAAAGCGAGAGTTGTGTCCAGATTCTTGGTCGTAAGTCGGACTCGTTTCCAGTGGGTGTTGGCCTCCGCCAGGGCTGCGCTGTGTCACCAATCAAATGATGAGGATGCCTCCAGGGCGCCTCCCGAGGGAGGTGTTCTTGGCACGTCCAGCTGGGAGGAGGCCATGGGGCAGACCGAGGACCAGGTGGAGAGATTATATCTCAACACTGGCCTGGGAACGCCTCGGTATCCCCCAGTCAGAGTTGGCAGATGTGGCCAGGGAAAGGGAAGTTTTGGGTCCTCTGCTGAACTTGCTACCCTCGCGACCCGACCCCGGATAAGCGGATGAAGATGAATGAATGAATGAATGAACACTGAAAAAAATCAGTAAATTTACTGATTTTTCACGTTTATTTTAAATATTTTTCTGTATTTTTTAAATAAACAGAAATATTAATATAATTACGAGGTTTTACAAAAATAAATAACGTGAAAGATCTTTAACTGTAAATTATCCTACAACTACTTATTATTTAAAGAAATATTCTCACATTAAAAGATTAAAACACATTTTATTTCCATCTTTTACTTACAGTCAGGCTCCTGCAGCTTTAATAACTTCCTGTTTTGGACTCTTTGTTGAATCTGAAGCATTTTAAAATCCCAGTGAGACCTTAAAGCAGCACGCACTGACAGGAGGAGGATGAGAGTAAACGATGAAGATGTTTCTCCTCTTCGTCCTCCTCTCTGTCTCTGCTCTCGGTCCCAGTGTGCAGGTACGAGGACGCAAATAACACGTCAGTAATTAAAGGCGCTGACCTGGTTTTTTCTGCCGGGACTGTAGGCCTACATTCAGCGCCGCGGTGCGTTCACTGACACGGGCCCTCGTCAGTGATGGTAATCCTGTTTCAGTTTGGTTCCGTCTGTCAGTGGGAAGCGTGAAACCTGCCGGACGCGTCGGCCTCGGGCGCAGAAACAAAGTGATTGGACACGGAGGATTAACAGCATCAAAGAGTTCAGCTGAAAATATTTTCTCTCTAATTGCACAAAGTTTCTTCAGGTCACATCGGTTCAGTGAACGTTAATGACGGCGCTGACGTATTAGCATGTGGAAGCTAACATGTTAGTAAACAAGCTGCTAGCGTTCACATCTGATCGGGTATTAAAAGCAATATACAAACCTCATAAACAACAAACAGCCACTGTATCTAAATACTACATTATTATTCATGTGTTCATTAACATGAATAGTTAACTGTTAGACGCTGCTCTGCGGCTGATCAAACGCAGTAATGTTACTTAATAAAAGACAAACAGGACTGTATTCGCTCTCCACCAGACTCCAGAGACAAAAACGCTAATTTTTACCTCAGATATCATCGTAACATTGTAACTTCATTCAAAGACAGAAACAGAATAAAACTCATTAAAGCGTCTCTGTTAGTGTTTCCAACAATCACCAACTCTGGTTTGGTGGAAATAAATCCTTAATTCACCGACGTAGATGATAAAATATTTGTGAATAAGCTAACGTTGCGTCGGTTAAAGTGCTTCCACTGAAAGCTCCACGATGCTCTCGGTTCTGTCCGACAGTAACTGCTGGTGGTTCTGAAACAAACATATGAAGAAGAGTGGAGACGAGTCCAATTAGCGTTGAAGAGCTCGTTATACAATCCAGTTATCAGCTGTTGAGAGGATGAGTCACTGACAACAAATACAGGGTCATCATCATCATCATCATCATCATCATCACAGTGTTCTGGAGAGAAACAGCCGACTGATATTGTTCAGTTCAACAATTAAACTTTATACTAAAGCTCTTCTATGTAACATTAAACTGAAGCTAACAGCGCCACCAGTTCAGTGAACTGCATCCTGGGAGTCGGCCAACAGAGACAAACACTGAACGCTGTAAAATAACTGACGATCATATTTAGAATAACGTTTCTATCTGTAATGTTCCTATATTATATTTGGACCGTTAGCTCCATGCTAATAACTAACTGTTTACAAATCAGCCATCAGCCAACACCAGACCCACAATGCAACACCAAGATACAGCCAGCTGGACAACCCCAGCTTAGCTTAGCTACAGTTAGCTAACTGGATGCCCCTCCCTCACATCGCTCTTGGCTAGTAGGAAGCTATCGTTAGCTTTGTATTGTTAGCATCATTTATTGTTGGCTAAAATCAACACAGTTTGTCAGAATACAGAAGTTAGCATCATGGATCACGTTAGCTGGAGAAGCTAACGTTAGCTAACTAACTTATCCACTCAGATAGCATTTTGCTAGAGTTAATGTTAGCGAGAAAGGAAGCTAAAGTTAGCCAGTTAGTTGCAATCGAGAAACGCTGAATAACATTATCCAACAACGTAACCTGCAAACGACCAAGCAGCCAGAACAGCCGGGAGTCTGGATGAAGCTAAGCTAAGCTAACTGACAGTATTTTGCTACGTTGGTAATTTGTTCATGTTAGCAAGCAAGCTAACGTTATCCAGCTAACAGCACAATCAGACAATATGTTCCACTAGCTTAGCATTAATGTTAGCTTTGACTTTGGACTCTGTGTTGGACTCTGTGTTGTGGACTCTGTGTTGGACTCTGTGTTGGACTCTGTGTTGGACTCTGTGTGTTGTGACTCTGTGTTGGACTCTGTGTTGGGACTCTGTGTTGTGACTCTGTGTTGGTGGACTCTGTGTTGGACTCTGTGTTGTGGACTCTGTGTTGGACTCTGTGTTGTGGACTCTGTGTTGTGGACTCTGTGTTGGACTCTGTGTTGGACTCTGTGTTGTGGACTCTGTGTTGGACTCTGTGTTGGACTCTGTGTTGGACTCTGTGTTGGACTCTGTGTTGTGGACTCTGTGTTGGACTCTGTGTTGGACTCTGTGTTGTGGACTCTGTGTTGTGGACTCTGTGTTGGACTCTGTGTTGGACTCTGTGTTGTCTGTGTTGTGGACTCTGTGTTGTGGACTCTGTGTTACAGTTTATTAATAAAGTCAAATGAAACCTGCTGTGCACAGAACTGGGATCAGTTTTGTGGTCTCAGTTCCTCTCAGAGCGAGAGGACGCCGACTGCCTGTCTCACAGCGTTTCATCACTAACAGCTGATCTCAGAGCAGATCTCATGGTTATTCAACCCTGACAACATGTTCGTGAGGCTCCTCTGCTGCTGTGAAGATGCAGCGGGCATAAAGATGCTTTTATGTAACCCTGCAGTCACAGCAGTGTGCAGCGGCGCACTGAGAGGACCACGGTTTTATTTTAACACAGATTTAACATGGACCCTGGTGTGAGAAAGAGATCTGTATTTGTGCTGCTTTCTGATACTGTTGTACTTTAATGATACAACAACGATCCACAATATGGAAGGGCGATCAGACTACAGTCAGACTTTTTCTGCAACTTTAAGTTATAAACAGAAGAAATATATCATAATTACAGAATTAAAGCTGAGAATGTAAACTCAGGTTAGGGTGAAGAGTTCCTCTTTCATGGCCAAACGTGGATTTTATGGTCAACTTTAGAGTTTACTCACTAAATCTAAGATGAAATATTTAGTTAAAATAAAACGGGTGGAAATAGCAAAAACGGCTCAAAAACTGCATGTTAAATTGATCATGTTCGGTTTGGGGTATGACTCCAAGAGGCCTTTTTGTACGTCTGGTCATGATACACGTTCGTGCCAGTTTTCAGACATATTAGTGAACTGTGCCGCAGGGGCTGTTCTTTAGGGGGCGCTGTTGAGCTGTTTTGCCACATGTGAATTTACGCCACCGCCGAATGTTGTGTCGAGTTTCAGCCACCAAAAACGCCGGTTTTTTTTGCTCTTTGCTCCAATCACAGTTGAGCAAGCCTCTGTCGACTTCCTCCTTCCCTGCACTCAGATATGCTACATGCTAAGCTAATCCAGGTTTTAGAAGGCTATGAAGGCGATGTGGCGGATGATGAAGATGGCGGCTGCTTCCTCTGCGCCGACCGTTTGGCTTCAGGTGCATCAGCGCACCCGTGTGGACAGATCAGAGACCCGGATCTGGATTTGAAAGAAGCTCTTTCATGGATGCGGCTGTTTAATGGAGCTGAACGGGATCCAGAGTGGAAGGTAGAGTGGTCTGATGTGGGAGCAACACGAAACATCAGGCAGAATATTTTTAGGAGCTTCTTCTACACCTCCACCGCTTGTCTCTCCATCACTCTCTCTCCTCTCTCTGACTGCTCCTCTCTCTCCCTCCACTCTCTCTCTCTCAGCCTCTCATCACATTCAGCAGCTCTCAGCCTGCGAGGAAGAGGAGGAGGAAGAGGAGGAGGAGGAGGAGACGGATGAGGCAGGAGGAAACAGTGGAGCAGAACAGAGTCGCTGTGTGTAAAATCTGCTGCTGTATCGCCTCGTTTCGTCTCTCTGGGATTATTCTCAACTTCGTTTGTTGGACGTCGTTTCTTTCTTCAACTCTTTTCGATCGCTGCCGCCGATTCTCTGAAGACGTTTCTGAAAGTTGAAGACGGACGCGTGAACGGCGGCAGGCGATTCCTTCCGCTCCTCGATTTACAGACGCATCCTGCGGCCATGTGCTACCATCGGAGAGTCTGATACAGCCTGAGGTGAACATAAATTACCCAGCATGCCTTGTGGCTTTTGCATTTAAACGTGCTGCAGTTTTTTGTGTTGGAAGTCGTGGCCATTTAAATCGTCACCTTGAGACTCGCTGGAAGGTTCTTTACTCTGAGAACATTTATATAATTACTGAGAACGATGTCGATAACTGAAGCGTTTCTTCGTCCGTTTGATCGTCACGAAACCGACGAGAAGTTAGAAATTCATTCATTCGTCAGCTGAAGAAAATGTCTGAAACAGATGTTGAAGCGTTGTTGCCCCCTGCAGGATGTGACCTTATATGGCAAATTAAACAATAAACTGAAGAAGCGTTTCGTCTGTGATGTGACTCAAACACACGGGATGTAATTTTCTTATATTTGAATCTCTTAAAAGTTCGGAAATGTAAATATCTCCTCAGTCGGAAGAATCATGGAGCGACCTTCTAGCGGATTTTACCGTTCAGACATGTCACTGGATTTGGACTAAACAGCGAGCGTCCTTAGAGATTTTTTCCTCGGTGGCTCCGCCCACCTCTCGGGGGAGATGGCGGCGGCCATCGCCAGCTCCCTGATCCGACAAAGGCGTCAGGCCCGAGAGTCCAACAGCGAAAAGGTCGCCACCAACAAGAGACGCTCGAGTCCGACTAAAGACCCAAGGTCTCTGTGCGAGAGACACATCTTCAGCGTCTTCAGTAAAGTCCGCTTCTGCAGCGGAAAGAAAAGACCCGTACGACGGAAACCAGGTGGGTTCACAGCGACCTGCAGATTTCTTACCTGCCCGCATTACAACCTTAAAGCCACTGGAGGGCGCACTAGAGCGCGAGAGACCAAAACAACAACGGCTACAGCCTCGAAGATAAACACACTTCAAACTAGAAACAAAATAAAACTCACAAACTCCTGGTGCAGTAACATTTATTCATACTTTATTGTTTTTAATTTGATAAAAATTTGTGATATTTACGTTAGAGGTGCTGTACATGACTTTCTAGTTAGATGTCACAGTAGAGCGCTACAGCCCACCAGACTCTATTCGCAAAACTGGTCATTTAACCTCACAGATCATCATAAAACACATTTTTAGAAACATTATATCAGAACAACTCTAATTTATTTTAGAAAACTGCTGAATATCAGATCTGATCAAATGAATATCGGTTCCAAATATGTTATAAAAAACATATTGATGAGAAACTAAATAAATCTCACCAAAACTGTCTATTTCATTGCCACCAGACTCCAGAGACAAAACTGAATTTTTACCTTCAGATCATCGTAACTTCATTCAAAGTTGAAAGAAACAGAATAAAACTCATTAAACTGTCTTTATTACTGTTTCTAAAAATCACCAACTATATTGAAATGTTTTAAATCTCACAGATAACCTTTAAAGTTTATCTTTAGTGCAGTCGCTGTCTGAATGTTGAGTTTTCTGAAGGAGTCGAGCTTAAATCGTCTGTTGTTTGATAAATGCAAAATAAACTGAGCGGTTTTACATTTTTAATGTTTAAAGAAATACCCGGTGATGTAGTGATGATGTCAGCAGCTGGAGGTTGACCTAAGCTCAAGCAGAGTTTCCTCCTGAGGAGACACAGTGTGTCGGACCGCTGGACGTATTCCAACATTTACACATTCATGAGCTGCGTCTCTCATTAGCTGACTCCCCGCTGCTGCCGGCCGCTTCAACTTCCCTTGGCAAGAAAAACAAACAGCTTCTTAAAGGAACTATTACACAGCGCTACTGCTTGATCAGCGGCTCCACGCCGACTGCAGGCTTAAACTTCTCCAGCGAGGAGTTTGTAAGAACAGAGGAGGCTGTAGAGAGAGGAAAGTATCTGCTGAGTCACTGAGGGCAACGTCAGCACTTTGTCTTCTTCTGATGTTTTAGCATCAGAGAGCCCCCTGCTGATCACATCTGATCCATACGAGAAGATCTGACCACGCTGCTGCAAAAACAATCAAAAACTGAATCTTTTGAAGCATAAAACTGTAATTTCCAACTCCCTCTGGTGGCCTGAAAGGTGTACAGCGACTGACCTGAAAGCCCCAAAACCTCCTGAGGATGGGCCAACAGTGCTACAACTATTATCACATTATTATTATTAATATTAATTATTATTCATTTATTTTGCGTTTTCTTTTTATCTATTTATGTGCAACGTATATTAAATGCGCTGTATACGAGTTTCGGACCAGATGGTGCACTGGAGCACCAGAATAAGAGACCAAAACAAATGTGCAAGTGCTACGGTCCACCAGACTCCATTTACAAAAACACTAATTATACCTCCAAGTTCATGAAACACACTTCACACCATTTTACCTTCGGATCATCGTAACTTCGTTAAAGTGAACAGAAAAAGACTATTCAATTCAATTCAATTTTATTTGTATAGCGCCAATTCATAACAGAAGTTATCTCACTAAAACTCATTAAAACAGTCTCTGTTAGTGTTTCCAACAATCAACAACTCCGGTTAGGTGGAAATAAATCCTTAATTCACCAACGAAGTTGGGGGGCCTTAACGCAAGCTAACGTTAATCCTTGGGATCCGTCCACTAACAGTTGTTGTTGTTTGTTCCACTAACAGTTGTTGTTGTTTGTTCCACTAACAGTAGTTGTTGTTTGTTCCACTAACAGTAGTTGTTGTTTGTTCCACTAACAGTAGTTGTTTGTTCCACTAACAGTAGTTGTTGTTTGTTCCACTAACAGTAGTTGTTGTTGTTTGTTCCACTAACAGTAGTTGTTGTTGTTTGTTCCACTAACAGTAGTTGTTGTCTGTTCCACTGACAGTAGTTGTTGTTGTTGTCCACTAACAGTTGTTGTTATTTGTTCCACTAACAGTAGTTCCGCCACTGACAGACCAGTTTTTTTTTGTGTCTGACAGCATTATGGAAAGGATCCCTACAGAGATAGACCTTTAGTTTAACCACAAACAGCCGTAATATCACTATCACTCTCCACCAGACTCCAGAGACACAAACACTGATTTTACCTTCAGATCATCATAACTTCATTAAAGTCGACAGAAACAGAGTAAAACTCATTAAAAGCGTCTCTGTTAGTGTTTCCCATGATCCCACAGTACTTCACAATACAATAATATGTTAAATAAATAAAATCATTTTTTATATTAGATTATTTATTTTTGCTCTTTGCAGTTGGAATTTGATCAAATCAATAATAAAATAATCAATAATATTTCTGAATGCTGACTCTGACTCTGACAGGGCTGTCAGTTATTGATCAACCACACGATTAATACTGTTTATCAGCTGCTGTTTATGTGATCCATCAACATATTTCACTCTGAATAAGACAAATACATTTAAAGGCCAATGTTTTCTTTCTCTGATCAAACTTTATTGATTGAAACATTAAATGTACATTTATTAAAAAGTAAAACTGGAAACTACGATCAAAGTTAATTTATGAACGTTTTAAACATTAAATTGTGTATATGAAGGAAAGAGTTACATTAATAACTATAAAATATAGAAATAAATATAAAATGTGATCAGTAATCAATAAACAGATATAAAGGTGATTCAGGTTCCACTTTATAAAAGTTCTCTGTTGTCTGAAGGCCACAGGAGCTGTTTGAAGGTGTAATTTTAGTTCTGCTGAGATTGAAATGTGATTCTGGTTCTGAGGCTCAGTTTCGCTTCAGGAAGCAGCAGCATGTGACGAGGTGTTTTATCTCCTTCAGGCTCACAGCTCCTCCTCAAACTGTCTCACACACTTTAAATATAACTCCCAACATCAGCATCTGTCGAACGGCAGCGACCTCCAAAACACCACCAGACTGTCCTCTGATCAGCCAATGATCAAAGTACGAGGTTAATAATGGATCAATTAACTGGAAGGTGTCAATAAAAGGGAGGTTTAGAGGTTGGAAATGCTGCGAATGAACATTAGAACTGAAACAGTGGATGGTAGAGCTAACAGACTGAGGCTAAAGCTAACAGGTCTCTGGCTATGGCTACAACACTAGCTTGTAGCTGCTGTGTCTCAGCGGGTCGTCCACTGATCAGATGGTTGTTGGTTCGATCCCCGGCTCCTCCCGCTGCATGTTGAAGTGTCCTTGAGCAAAATACTGAACCCCAAACTGCCCCTGATGCATCGCTGTAATATACAATGTATATATATAATGTAAATACAGTCGTTAGCTTAGCTTCAAACAGAAACTTTCACAAACAGTGTGAATGTGCTTCTAGTGACTGTAACAGCTGCTCATGCTGGTTAGCTCTGTTAGCTGAGGTTAGCTCTGTTAGCTGTGGTTAGCTCTGTTAGCTGTGGTTAGCTCTGTTAGCTGAGGTTAGCTCTGTTAGCTGAGGTTAGCTCTGTTAGCTGAAGTTAGCTCTGTTAGCTGAAGTTAGCTCTGTTAGCTGAGGTTAGCTCTGTTAGCTGAAGTTAGCTCTGTTAGCTGTGGTTAGCTCTGTTAGCTGTGGTTAGCTCTGTTAGCTGAGGTTAGCCGTCGAGGCTCCGCCCACTACAGTGCAGGTCTGTGAGGGGGCGGAGCTAGCAGGAGTGTGTGTGTGTGTGTGTGTAAGTAGCACAGCTCCTGCTCCACATCGCTCTCTCTCTGTGTTTTGGTCTATTTCTGATGATGAGTGCTTCTGGCCCACATTGTCATCTGGAGCATCCCTCCATCTCCACAGCCAGCCGCCATCTTTGTTTACTCTGAACAACAAACACACGACTCTTCCTCCGAGCGTCCGTCTGCAGGTCAACAGCTCGTGTTTACAAAGTCAGAGTTTATCTCAGTTTACTTTCTCTAATCTCATTTCATCCCTTATGTTTAATAAGATTATCCATCAGTGCTGTTCATCTGGACACTCACAGTAAACATACAGTAAACACACAGTAAACATATAGTAAACACACAGTAAACATATAGTAAACATACAGTAAACATATAGTAAACACACAGTAAACATAATAAACATATAGTAAACATATAGTAAACACACAGTAGTAAACATAAGTAAACATACAGTAAACACAACAGTAAACATATAGTAAACATATAGTAAACACACAGTAAACATACAGTAAACACACAGTAAACATATAGTAAACATATAAACAAAACAACAGTAAACATACAGTAAACACACAGTAAACATACAGTAAACACACAGTAAACACACAGTAAACATATAGTAAACACACAGTAAACACACAGTAAACATACAGTAAACACACAGTAAACATATAGTAAACACACAGTAAACATATAGTAAACACACAGTAAACATATAGTAAACATACAGTAAACATACAGTAAACATACAGTAAACACACAGTAAACATATAGTAAACATACAGTAAACATATAGTAAACGTATAGTAAACATATAGTAAACACACAGTAAACATATAGTAAACACACAGTAAACATATAGTAAACATACAGTAAACATACAGTAAACACACAGTAAACATATAGTAAACATACAGTAAACATATAGTAAACATATAGTAAACACACAGTAAACACAAACATACAAAACATAGTAAACAACAGTAAACATATAGTAAACATACAGTAAACATACAGTAAACATACTGTAAACATATAGTAAACATATAGTAAACACTGTAAACATACAGTAAACATATAGTAAACATACAGTAAACATACAGTAAACATATAGTAAACATACAGTAAACATATAGTAAACACACAGTAAACATACAGTAAACATACAGTAAACATATAGTTAACATACAGTAAACACACAGTAAACATACAGTAAACATACAGTAAACATATAGTAAACATATAGTAAACACACAGTAAACATATAGTAAACACAAAGTAAACATAAAGTAAACACACAGTAAACATATAGTAAACATAAAGTAAACATAAAGTAAACACACAGTAAACATATAGTAAACATATAGTAAACACACAGTAAACACACAGTAAACATAAAGTAAACACACAGTAAACATATAGTAAACATACAGTAAACACACAGTAAACATATAGTAAACACAAAGTAAACATACAGTAAACATATAGTAAACACACAGTAAACATACAGTAAACATAAAGTAAACACACAGTAAACATATAGTAAACACAAAGTAAACATACAGTAAACATATAGTAAACACACAGTAAACACACAGTAAACATACAGTAAACATACAGTAAACACACAGTAAACATATTGTAAACACACAGTAAACACACAGTAAACATACAGTGAACATACAGAGAACATACAGTAAACACACAGTAAACATATAGTAAACACATAGTAAACATACAGTAAACATACAGTAAACACACAGTAAACACACAGTCAACACACAGTAAACATACAGTGAACATACAGTAAACACACAGTAAACACACAGTAAACATACAGTAAACATACAGTAAACATACAGTAAACACACAGTAAACATACAGTGAACATACAGAGAACATACAGTAAACACACAGTAAACACACAGTAAACATACAGTGAACATACAGTAAACATACAGTGAACATACAGTGAACATACAGTAAACACACAGTAAACATACAGTAAACACACAGTAAACATACAGTGACATACAGAGAACATACAGTACACGTACAGTGAACATACAGAGAACATACAGTGAATGTACAGTGAACATACAGAGAACATACAGAGGACATACAGTAAACATACAGAGAACATACAGTGAACATACAGTAAACATACAGAGAACATACAGTGAACATACAGTAAACATACAGAGAACATACAGAAAACATACAGTGAACATACAGTAAACATACAGTAAACACACAGTCAACATACAGTGAACATACAGAGAACATACAGTGAACATACAGTGAACATACAGAGAACATACAGAATATATATATATATATATATATATATATATATATATATAATATATATATATATTATACGTGCAGTGAGTCTCAGACTGCAGCTGAACAGGAATCAGAATAATAAATAATAAAGTGAGTTTAGAGTGAACCTTATATCTGTGTGTGTGTGTGTGTGTGTGTGTGTGTGTGTGTGTGTGTGTGTGTTACAGAGCCACAGCTGAAGGGCATCGTGACGCGTCTGTTCAGTGAGCAGGGTTTCTTCCTGCAGATGCAGCCTGATGGAGCCATCAGTGGGAACAAAGACGAGAACAGTGACTACAGTGAGTCTGCAGCACACACACACACACACACACACACACACACACACACACACACACACACACACACCTGGACACAACTGGACTCACACTGATTCCACACTGCTGCTTTAAATCATCTGGTTTGGAAAAAGAGGACAAGAAGAAGAAGAGGAGGAGATGTTTTGGATTCCCCTTTCTGTCTGTCTCTCTCTCTCTCTTTCTGTCTCTCTTTCTGTCTCTCTCTCTCTGTCTCTCTCTCTCTCTCTCTCTCTTCTGTCTCTCTCTCTCTCTCTCTCTCTCTTCTGTCTCTCTCTTTCTGTCTCTCTCTCTCTCTCTCTCTCTCTCTCTCTCTCTCTCTCTCTCTGAGTTAAATAAAGGAGGATTAACAGCCATCGCCACAGGCCTCTTCCTCCTCCACCTCCTCATCCTCACCCACACTGCAGCTCCCCGAGGATTAAATCACCTCTCATCACTCCATCCCTCCTCCTCCTCCTCTTCCTCCTCCTCCTCCTCTTCCTCTCTTTCATTCTCTCAGTTTAACCACCGACAGCTTCAGAGATCAGTTACTGTTACACATCTGACTGTCTCTCTCTCTCTCTCTCTGTCTGTCTGACTGTCTCTCTCTCCAGCTCTGTTCAATCTGATCCCAGTGGGTTTGAGGGTTGTGGCGATCCAGGGAGTGAAGGCTGGACTGTACGTGGGCATGAACGCTGAGGGATTCCTCTACACATCAGTAAGACCGTCTGTCTGTCTGTCTGTCTGTCTGTCTGTCCGTCTGTCTGTCCGTCTGTCTATTTTGTGTATTTGTTATTGTTTGCGATATAAAGTCAGAATCAGTGTTTCAGGTTAATCAATTAGCACTTTCTCTGCGGCTTCCGTTATGGAACGTATGGTTCCCCTCTTAACAGCTCCGGTCACTCCTAGCCCTGACAGAGCTTTGCAGGTTGAACGCCCAGCGAACCCCCGGCAGCTCACCTCGATAGGTCCGCAGTGAGCCCGCCAGCCCCGGCTGCACTCCTCCACCAGGTCTTGGTATTTCGCCTGCTTCCTCTCGTGTGCCTCCTCCATGTTCTCCTCCCATGGCACAGTCAGCTCCCACATGATCACCTGCTTGGTAGCATCTGAGTAGATGATCAAGTCAGTCTTGTCTGGGCGATGTGTTCAGGGACCTTTAGTTGTTTTCCCAGGTCCACTCTCAGCTGCCAATCTGGGGCTGTGGTCACGAGTGGGGCTTCTCTCCAGCCTTCAGGAAAGGGATGTTTTTCTTCCTGGGGCAGTGTCTGCTGTGGTGACACTCTGCACTGCTTGAGCACCTGGTCGTGGCGCCAGTGATAGCAGCCATCGGCCAGAGCTTTGGGTCAGCTGCTGAGGAGGTGCTGAAGCGATCCTCTACCAGCACACTGGGGGCAGGAAGGTGTCTCAATCTTGCCCCAGGTGTGAAGGTTTGCTGGGCTTGGCAAGGTGTCGTAGACGGTTTGGACCAGAAAGCTGATAGCTGTTAGCCCGCCATGAGATCTTCCGCTGCAGCGTCTTCTCCCACCTTGTCCAGGCTCCCTGCTGACTCAGTCCCACCATCTTGCTGGCTCTTATCTCCTCTACACCTGCTCACACTTCCTCCTGGAGGAGATGTTGACGCTCCTTCCCTTTAGCTCTGTCCACCTGGCTGCCTGGAAAGTAGCCCAGACCTGATCGCCCTCTTGCCACCGTCCCAACAAGGGCCTTCTGCCTTGGCCGCGCCTCTGCTGCCTGTAGATCTCTGGCAGCACTCCACTTCCTGCCTGCGGACTTCGATGCCAGCTGTTGCCACCTTGGGGTCCCTGGAGTCCCTCTACTGCATGACCTCTCTTGTCCGTGTCACCACAAACTCTTCTGAGAGGCTGCTGAAGGGGAGGTGTAGGGCGTTGTTGGACCCGTACAGGGCAGCACTAGGCTCCTCGGCAAGCTGAGCCATCTTCGCAAGTAACTGCTGATCTTCTTCCCCAGAGCTTCCACAGTTGACACTGGGACATCATACAGTAGCAGCGGCCACAGAACCCTGGGAAGAATGGCATGCTGGTAGATCCAAGCCTTGAAACGACCAGGCAACCCAAATCTGTCAACCTTGGTGAGCCAGGCTCCGAGGTTACCACAGGTTTTGTGGATGGCAGCTGTGTCCTTCAAGCTGCAGTCAAAGAGCTTCCCCAAGCTCTTCTGACAGTGTTGGAATGATGGACTCTGAGATCTTGAACACTTCTTCAGGACTCCTCCTAGTCTCACAATGAACTGGTCCTGTGTGCTGTGTGCCTGTTGTCTACTTGTCCAAGATGTCATCCTTTTGCTACTGTACTAGTTAGCTGGCATTTTGCTAACAATAGCTTGCAGATGTAACTAGCTGTCTACAACTGATGTAGATTGGCTAGCTAGTTAGCCACTTAGCTAGTGTTAGCGCTCTGTAGAGAAACACTAACAGGCTAACTGATTGACGCAGATTAGCTAATGAGTTAGCTGGTGTAAAATCAGTGTATTTTAAGGTTATATAGTTCCACTTATATGATTCATTATTCAAATATTTATTTTTAAACTGCAGTTTGTCCTGCTCAAGGGCACGCAGGCAGTGAACCTCCTCGTAATGTGACTGAAAATATCCGAGCTCAGGATTCAGTTACTCAGCAGGCGTCTCATGTTTTACCAGAGAGATTTTAAGACGCTGATATGTGACATTACTGCGGAACAAAAAGCTCCGTTTGAAGAACGGATAGAAACTAATAATAAATATTGATATGAGATCAGCCTGCAGAGTGCAGCTCGCCTCGCTGAGTCCGTCCAACATCTATAATTCATGTCCGCTCTTTCTATTAAACTTTAAAATGCAACTCTTCTCTCGCTGTGTGTTCACATCCGACGGGATGGAGTGATGGAGGAAGAGATGATACAGTAGAAGAGCGAGCATCATCCTGGGCGTCGGCCAACAGACACTGAACGCTGTAAAATAACTGACAGTCATATTTAGAATAACGTTTCTATCTGCAAAGTTCCTATATTTTATTTGGATCGTTAGCTCCATGCTAATAACTAGCTCGCCGTTTACAAATCAGCCATCAGCCAACACCACGAAGCAACCGACGCCAGACCCACAATGCAACACCAGACCCACAATGCAACACCAAGATACAGCCGGACAACACCAGTTAGCTTAGCGAACGATTAATAAAAACCCTGATTACAACACAACTTTAAAATACATAAACATTGTAAACAATCAGCAGCTGGACGCCAAAACATTCAGTAAAATAACAGAAAATAACTAAAATACAGTTTTTAACTTTTATTTGACATAAAATCTTTTTAATGTTTGATTAAAGATATTTACAGTGTAAACAATGATCTATAAATCCAGGTGAACTCTGCTATAATACAATAATCAGACTTACATTTACAGCAGAGTGCTGTTATTATTGGATTGTTATTATTTTAATGTGAATGTTAAAAGTTCTAGAACTGTAATAAAAGTCATTATCTGTGAGATTACAGTAATTATTGCTGTTTACACTGATAACAACTGTATTTGGACAGTTTACCTTATACACTGATAAACAACATTTATTCTACTTATTTTAAAGATATGTGACAGATTGTTTTACAGTGAAGGCTCTAACTGGATATTTTCAGCTACAAACTCAGAGGTTGTTATTTCAGTGAGAGCTGAACAGAGTTGTGCATTGTGTGGGTTTGTTCTGCTCTGATTGGCTCCCTGACCACCTGTTATATCCAGAGGGCACACACACACACACACACACACACACACACACACACACCTGTTATACCTGGAGGGAGCTGCTAAATTTACCTGAACGCGTCCCAGTAGAGTCGGGTTTGGCCTTAAAGGTCCATATTTAACATGGTGGATCCGGTTTGTACCAACGTGGAACAGTGAGACAGAATGACACTGCACTACGTTACCCACAATGCATTTGTCTTGCTGGCTCACGCTGTCTTTGTGTGTTTTTCTTATGAACTATATGTTTGTGTGTTTATCACTGTTATACTATTATGATCAATAACTGACTGATTATAACTGTATAAATAATAATAATGTGTGTGTGTGTGTGTGTGTGTGTGTGTCAGGATGTGTTCACAGCAGAGTGTAAGTTTAAGGAGTCGGTGTTTGAGAACTACTACGTCATCTACTCGTCCACACTGTACCGGCAGCACGAGTCGGGCCGGGCCTGGTTCCTGGGCCTCAACAAGGACGGAGTCATCATGAAGGGCAACCGCGTGAAGAAAACCAAACCCTGCTCACACTTCGTCCCCAGACCCATCGAAGGTGAGACGCACACACACACCTGAGGGACTAATTTATAAAGATACAGTGTATACTGATCAATAATCTATAAAGATACAGTGTATACTGATCAATAATCTATAAAGATACAGCGTATTCTGATCAATAATCTATAAAGATACAGTGTATACTGATCAATAATCTATAAAGATACAGTGTATACTGATCAATAATCTATAAAGATACAGTGTATACTGATCAATAATCTATAAAGATACAGTGTATACTGATCAATATCATTCTCATTTTTTTAGCAAGTTCCTGCAAATGTTTCACAATAAAAGCCTTGTTTAAAAGGGTTTCCGGAGGGCTTTTAATTTAATTGAACTAAACACAGGTGATATTTTATGAATGAATGAATCTTTATATATATAATATATTATAACTAATGAATCACATAAAGGTCAGAGGAGGTCAGAGGTCAGAGGTCGCCCTGCAGGAGCTTCCTTTGGCTCTGAGGACGAGGTGAAGCTCTAATATCACTGATGAAGGTTTAACAGGAAACATGAAGCTCCGTCTCTGCTTTCAGCCTCCCCCTCCTCCCCCCTCCTCCTCCTCCCCCTCCTCCCCTCTCCTCCTCCTCCTCCTCCCCCATCTTCTTTAAAATATCGTCAACATCTCCTCCTCCTCCTCCCTCCTCCTCCTCCTCCTCCTCCTCCTCCTCCTCTTCCTCTTCCTCCTCCTCTCCAGCTACCAGTCCACACTCCATATTGGGGTCTGTGGGACTTGAACCGACGACCCTGCACACTGAGCTACTGCCGCCCCAGACGTTAGCGTTCATAGCGATCGGATAAATTAAAATATTGATCGTTTGTTGTTCATAACGTGTTTCTCCCCCCCCCCCCCCCCCCCCCCCCCCCCCTGCAGTCTGCATGTACAAGGAGCCGTCGCTGCACGAGCTCGAGGAGAAGATGCTGAAGTCCTCGCGGAGCCCGACGCTGAACAGCGGCGAGCGGGCGAGGAGCCGGGAGCGCCACCAGGAGGAGCAGCAGCAGGCGGACTGCACAGAGCAGGAGGGATCATAGCCTGCAGCGCCCCCCGCAGGCGAGGAGGAGGAGGAGGAGGCGAACTCCCATTTTAACACTCCCTCTGTTCAGCAACCACACCGACGACGACGACGACAACAACAACAACAACAACAACAACGAGCGCCACGGCGACGGCGACGAAAACAAAGAAAAAAAAAGAAGCTAAAAAAAAAAAAAAAAATAAATGGGGGTTTCTTCTTCTTGTGTTTTAAATCCAACGGGGGAGGGCGAGGGGGAGGGGCTTGTGTGATGTCAGGACGTTGACGATGATGATTTACATTTTATGCAAACAGCCCCGATGACACGGCGCCCGGAGGCTAGCACACCTACTCTTCATCGCTACATCGCAGTCGTCATCACTCCTGTCGCGACGATGACGAGCGAGAACGCCGAAGCTTTAAAGCCATGTAGAAACTTCACTTCCTGTCATTTCTTTAACCAATCAGAAGAACACACCGCGCTTCTTCTTCTTCTTCTCCGTGTTGTTCCGTCCAATCAGAAAGAAGAGTTGTTTCTGTTCCTCAGCTGCCACTTCCTGTTTGTGTTTGTTTGTTTGTTTGTTTGTTTGTTTGCGTTCCGACCGGAGGAGGTTCGGGAGGTTTGTGAGTTGAATCCTTCACTTTCCTGCGTTCTTTGAATGCACCGTCAGTTTATGATGACCCTTCCTAAGCCCCGCCCCTTTTTGCTCTGTGCTCCATTAACAGCAACTATGCTAAGCTAGGCTAATCTATGTTGAAGATAGTTAATAAATAAAATATAAATATAAATAAATAGACACATATTAGGTTAGCTCATGTTAGCAAAATGCTAGCTCATGTAAATTAGCTTGCTGGTTAGCTAGCATTTTGCTCTGTAGCAAGTTAGCTTGCTATGCTAGCTAACTAATCTACAGCAATCGTAAGCTAGCTAGTTCAGGTGAAGGCTAATGTTAGCAAAACGCTACCTAATGAACAATTCGCTAGCGTTTTGCTAACATTAGCTTTCAGATGCTAGCTAGCTAGCTAACGATTAATGTAGATTAAATAGCTACAGAGCTAAATGCTAGCTAGCTAACTAGCTAACCTACGTAAATCATTAGCTAGTTATTTAGTGTTTCGCTAACATTAGCTAACTTAAGATTTGTTTATATTTTTAATATTTATTATTTATTAATCTTTAAAATGTGGTTGTCAACATAAATTAGCTTAGCTTAGCATATCTAAGCACAGGAAAGGAGGAAGTGGGAGGGGCTTAGCTACGGTCAATATTGTTACACAAACAAATTATTAAGTTTAAATAAAACCCGAACAAACAAACTGCAGCAATGTGAAGTACGACGGCACTCAAACGCAACACAGCCCTCCTCCTGTCTCTGTCTCGTGCTGCGTTCAGGGTCTGATCGGGTGAAACGAAACGTTGCTGGCAGAAATATTGCATGATGTATTCCCCCCCGGCAGTTCGGGGGGGTCTGAATGTTGAATTATGGAGACACTAACAGCTGATCTCTGATCCGGTTCTGGACTGATCCGGTTCTGGACTGATCCGGTTCTGGACTGATCCGGTTCTGGTTCTGGACTGAAACTCACACGTTGTCTTTCTTTGAACACGATTGTTTGTTTTGTCTCTTTAAGAAACTTCGGGCCAATCGGGTGAAAGAGGCGGGGTTTCTGTTTGGATTAAGGCTCCGCCCCCAATCAATATTAGCTCTGTGATTGGTTCTGATTATTGATGATTGAATGGATTGATTGATCAGCTTTGGGCACCAGTGGCATGTCATCAAAGTTTATGATTATTGATTATTAGTTGAGACTAACAGACAGTTAGCAGCAGTTAATTAGCTGTTAGCTGCTTTAGCTCAAGCTATCTGTCCATAAGGAAACAACAGGATGCTAAAGTTGAGCTAACTAGCTCACATTAGCAACACAACTAAACTACAGCATCAGTAGCTAGCATTTGCAGTAAAAATTAATAAAAAAATTTATAAGTTAAGTAGCTAGCTACCGTAGCTCGTGTTGCGTTCAGGTGTCGGCTGATTGCGAGGACATATGAACACTGCCCCGCTTCGTGTAGACGGAAACCACTGCCCTCCTCTCTTACTCGGAACCCTTTACTCGTCTCAGAAGTTTCCGACCGGCGTTCCCAAAAGCTTCCGGATCGATTCCCAGTTTACAAACGCCGACCTCCACTTCCTGTTTCATTCACACAGCCCTTCAAAATAAAGCTCCTTCCTCCTCTAGAAGTTCTATCACTGCCTTCGTAACAACAATAATGTTTTATACGGAATATTAAATCATATTTTTACTTTGCATCAGACCCGTCCTAAGCCCCGCCCCCTTTTGCCCTGTCCTCCAATCACAGTTGAGCTAGCCTCGATCACTTCCTCCTCTCCTGTACTTAGATAATGCTACGCTAGGCTAATCTATGTTGAAAAGACAACCACATTATAAAGAAGCTTAATAAGTAAGTTAGCTAATGTTAGCTAATGTTAGCAACATGCTAGCTTACGATTTGCTCTGTAGCAAGTTAGCTAGCAGTTTCTTTGTAGCTAGCTCACTAATCTACGTTACTCGTTAGCTAAGCTAATGTTAGCAAAATGCTAACTAACAATTAAGCTGTAAATTAGCTAGCTAGTTATCTGGCAGTTTGCTAACGTTAGCTTTCAGCTGTAGCTAGCTAACTAACAGCTACAAAGAAACTGCTAGCTAACTTGCTACAGAGCAAATCGTAAGCTAGCATGTTGCTAACATTAGCTAACATTAGCTAACTTACTTATTAAGCTTCTTTATAATGTGGTTGTCTTTTCAACATAGATTAGCCTAGCGTAGCATTATCTAAGTACAGGAGAGGAGGAAGTGAACGAGGCTAGCTCAACTGTGATTGGAGGACAGGGCAAAAGGGGGCGGGGCTTAGAAACTTTAAACGTCAGGAAAAACATTTTTTTAATTAAACAATTAATTTTCGTTCTTCACAATAATAAAAATAATAATTTCTGACATGAAAATAAGTTTTGAACGTTGATGTTTATTCAGCCTGTAAATAATCACAAAGTAAAAACAGTTCAAAGCTCAGAAAGCGGATTATTGTTTTGGTAATTGAATGCATCAGAGATTAAATCAATAAAGATGTTTTTGTTTGTTTTTAGAGAAACTCGGTCGCCTCCAATCAGCCGACACTAAACATTTAAACTCTGGTCCGGTGACAGGTGAGAGGAGGCGGAGTCAGGCAGGGTTGGCTCTGATTGGCTGCCACGGCCCAGGTGTGTGTTTGTCACATTCTGTTGGTTAAAGACGACGAATGGAGGGAAAGGAACGAACCAATCACAATCCACCGTACTGCCTCTGAGAAAGTCTTCCAGTCTGGGGTTTTGAGGATTGTAGAGACCGAACAGAAACTCTCTTCTGGTCCTCGAATGAATGAAAACTCACCGAATGTCCTTTCTGTCGCCTCGACAACCAAAACTGTCGTTTTCTTCGGGATCAGATTTTAATTTTACGAATGTAAAAAACTTTATTTTATTCTTTTGAATTTTTTTTAAAATCCTTTAAAGAAAAATGCCTACATGCTAAGCTAGGCTAAGCTAATTTGAAAAGAAGATGAGTTAGCTAATGTTAGCTAAATGCTACATAATGATTAGCTATTTGTCATTAAGTGTTTGTTAGCAAGCATTTTGCTAACATTAGCTTTCAGATCCAAATTATTGACAATATTTTATCATTTTATTTTATCTAGCAAAGTGAAACTGAAAGTAAATAATGCAGCTTTAAACATTTTATTCACTTTTATTTAATATTTTAATATATTTTTTTCTGTTTTTGTTTGTTTTGTTTTATTTATTTGTTAGTTGAAATCCTCCACTGATACAAGAGATTAAATAAATAAAATAAATATTTAATTTATAATTAAAGTTTATCTCCAAAAAGAAGTTCTGAAACTTCGTAAACTGAAAAATTTAAATAACTCAGTTTTGTTTTATAAAAACATTCTTGATTAAGTTAAACTAACTTAACTTTAACTTAATTAAGAATGTTTTTATTTACTTACAACATTTAGTTCAGGCAGTTAAATGAACTCATCAGGTTTTACAGCGCTCAGCAAATTTAAAAGTTTCAAATCAGCTGAAAATAAGAATCATTGTGTGTTTTTGTGACGTTTTTATCTACAGAGGCAGCGGCTCCTCTTGTGGCGGCCATGTTGAACCACCATGTTTCTACGGTAGCCCAGAGCGGACAAACCAAACTCTGGCTGCAGATAGGCACCTTTTTCGTGCGTTTTGTGGCCACCGTAGTTTAACCTACACCCTCCTGCACGCTGGTCCTTTAACCCGTCGAAACAAAAAGAAAAGTTTTACCAAAACTTTGAACTTAAAGCTGCAGCTGGTGACTTTTATAAAAATATTTTTTGTCATATTTGCTGAAACTTTCACTTTGTCCTGACAGTAAAACATGAAACAGATAATCTGTGAAATAACCAGGTTCCTCTGGTTCCTCCTGGTGCTCCTAACGGGTTCGCAAGAATCCACCGGGCCCGAACCAAGACAACCAATCAGAGCAGAGAAAGATATAAAGACTTTGGTAAGATAATTGTCTCTTTCTCAGTGTCGGTATTTGACGACCTGGGAATGAGTCTCAACAATCATTCTCGGCTCTGATTGGTTGTTTTGGTTCGGGTCTGTTGGATTCACTCAGGTCCAGTTAGGAGCACCAGGAGGAACCAGAGGAACCTGATTATTTCACAGATTATCTGTTTCATGTTCTACTGTCAGGACAAAGTGAAAGTTTCAGCAAATATGACAAGAAATATTTTTATAAAAGTCACCAGCTTTAAAGGAGAATCTACGGTGGCCACGAAATGTGCAAAAAACATAAACTCTGATCCAGAGTTTGGTTTGTCCGTTCTGGGCTACCGTAGAAACATGGCGGTTCCACATGGCGGACTCCGCCAGAAGAGGAGCCGCTGCCTCTGTAGATAAAAACGTCTCATTGTAACAAAAACACAACGATAAAACATATCTGACCGATATTATATTAATGTTTGACGCTGGAGCTTTAATGAGTTTGTGAACCCGTAAATATAAAAAGTCTTTCACTTTATTGTATTCTCACTTTTATTCTGATGTCTAAACGCTAATGTTAGCTAAATGCTAGATAATAATTCGCTAATTTGCATAAACTGTACATTGTAGATAAAACTAACTCTTTTTGAATATTATTTCACAACCACAAACTTTTATTGACCCTGAACGCCACATGTGCTCACCTAATGCTGCATTCAAAGTCTGTGGGACAGAACGTAGAAGCACCTGTATGACCCTGAGGATTGATCGGTCAGAAAATGGGAACTACAGATTTTTTTTTTTTGCATGACTTGAAGGCGGCACAGTTACCATGACGAACTGTGATCTATGATTTGTATTGATCGTCTCTGAGACGTAGAACGAGTAGAAAGGACACTCTGCGGTTAAAGAGCAGCCGGTCGACTCGTTTCACACATTAAGAACCGATAATTCATCAATACTTCAAACCGAGTCGACCTGCTGGACTTTCACTCGATCTTTATCCAGAAACAACAAGAGACTCGGCCCGTAGGGGGCGCCGTCGCTGCCGTCGCTGATGTCATTACGGCGGCGGCGGGAGGATGTGATTCGGTCTCTGTGGAGCCTCTTTGATGTGTCTTTGTGTTTGCTGATGTTTGCACCTTTTCTGACTCACTTCATATATCGCAGCCGCATCGTATATTAGAACAACGTCATCGCAGATACGCAGCAGGATGATCGACCAATAAAAAAGAACATATAACAGCTTCGGTCTCCGCCTCTTTATTGCTCTTTGTTGTCATTTTTCAAATAAAACGTTGTTCTTTATCTAATAAAATATATAAAGTATAATACATTTGTAACTGACAATCAAAGATTTCTAAATGGAAGAATTTTTAGTGTTTAGCATCTTTTTAGCAATGCAGCCACATTAGCAACAATGCTAATAGCATGAGAACACTGAGCACTTCATAGGAAAGCCAGATACTGAAGTCAATATTTTGATAAGGTTTCTAATTATAATGACTTAGAGACTGTTTTTTAAAAAGCCAGTAAAATCCTGGAGGACCGACTTCAGGTCCAGGCTTTAGGATCATGTGTAATAGCCAGATTCGGGGCCGGAGCCCCGGAATGAGGCTGTGTCTCTCGGCTCCGACGAACACGGCAGGTTTAAATGTTTCAGCATTAAAGTTTCAGCAGCTTTCAGAGCGCCTCCTCTTCTTGTTCTCCTCTTGTATTAAGATTTAATCCAAC